TGGTAATCTTAAAGATAGAATATTGAGTGAAGCTCACCAATCTTGTTTGTATACGGATAAAATGTATCAAGATGTGAAACAATTTTGTTGGTGGCTAGGAATGAAGAAAGATATAGGAAGGCATGTTTAACAGTGGATAACTTGTCTGCAAGTGAAGATAGAGCATCAGCAACCTTACAGTAAGTTGTTGTCGTTAGAAATTCCAGTTTGAAAATGGGATCACATTACTATGGATTTCATAACCAAGCTACCTAGAACACCGAAAGGCTTTGATGCTATATGGGTTGTTATGGATCGATTATCCAAATATGTTCATTTCTTACAATGAAGGAATCATATTCTATGGATCGACAAGCGAAACTGCATATTGATGAAGTGATAACACGTCACAGTGTTCTACTGTCGATTATTTCTGACTGAGGCAGTTGATTCACATGTATGTTTGGAAGGGTTTCCAGAGATAATTGGGTTCACAGATAAAGTTGAGTACGACTTACCATCCACAGACCAATAGGCAAAGTGAATGAAAAATTCAGACACTCGAAGATATGCTTCGGGCATGTGTTATTGATTTTGAAGAATTGTGGGATATCTATTTGCCATTAATTGAGTTTGTCTACAACAACAATTATCATTCGAGTATTCAGGCGGCACCTTTTGCAATGTTGTACGGGTGAAAATGCCGAACACCATTGTGTTGGAACAAAGTGAGGGAGAAACAATTGGCTGGACCTGATATAGTTCAGCTAACAACATATAAGATTAATCAAATTCATGAACGAATAAAAGTTTCCCAAAATTGGCAGAAAAATTATTCTAATAAGCGTCGTAAGCCTATTGAGTTTCAAATTGCTGATAAGGTGATGTTGAAAGTATCACCTGGAAAGGAGTTGTTCGTTTTGGAAATAAATGTAAGTTGAGTCCAAGGTATATTAGACCATTTTCTATCCGTGAACGAGTCGGGGAAGTGCCATGCAAACTAGAACTTCCTATGGAGTTGAGTGGTATTCATAACACTTTTCCTGTATCAAATCTACAGAAGTGTCTAGCAAATCCAGTAGTTGTGCCACTACCAGAAATCAAAATTGATAAAAAGTTGTGTAATGAAGAGACCGTTGAATCCATTACTGACTTCAAAGTAAAAGCATTGAGAATTAAAGAGATCAGAATAGTGAAAGTATAGTGGCAATATCATAAGGGGATAGAAGCCACCTGGGAACCCGAGTCTGAGATGAGAGTAATATTATATCCTCATTCGTTTACCTAGTGGAATTTTGGGACGAAATTCTTTTAAGGAGAGGATAGTTTGATGGCCGGTTTTAATTTATGATCGGGTTTCGAATATATAGCAATGGAAAGTTCAGGGTTAAAATTGTATGGTTATTGGGAGATGAAGGACCAAAAAGGAAAATTTGGTCACCTCCTTTTGACATAGAAAGGTTTGGTCCAATATGATAATTTGGATATTTGGTTTTCACATGGGAGGGAAGGGTTCATGCCCATGCATCGCCTCACCCTCCTCTTCTTAGAAGTTCATATCTATACTACATTAATAACCATTTAGACCAAAATCTTAATTACGACTCTTAAAGCATAGAGTACTACCATTTTGTGCAAGAAATTCAAAAATCTCTTAATTGCAAATTTTTATGCACAATGTACAAGATCTATTTCAACACGACCAAATTCTAATTGGGTCAAACCTACCTTCTCTTATTAGACTTCTCTCAAATTACCCATTTGGGCCAATTTCTTCTTCTTTTGTATCTGATGTCTGCTACCAAAACCAAAAGCTTTCTTCTTCTTATTCTGTGATTTTCTCATATGCGACCAAAACATTTTGGGTTAGATAGCAAATATCTTTCTTCTTCACAGACCTCATTTGCCATAACAATGGTGGTTTTGATGTATCACCTTGATCAGGCGTCCGATTTCATTGAAAAGAGACGATAATCGATTCAACATTTTCTCCCCAAGGTTTATCGAAGCGTTTGTTCCAGAGGTAATGTAACATAAGCATTGCATAGAATAGTCTCTCTTTTCTGGTTCGATTTTGCATTAGTTTAGTTATATGTAGTTCTACTCAATTTATGAGTTAATTTCTACTTTGAATCATCATGAGGATTTAATATATTTGGAGCAAAATCTGAGGTCTACATTGAACAGTAACACACATCTAATAGTGGCTATTAGGTTATCTTTGCCGATAATGATAGTTCTTAATTTGTACCGAAATTGTTCAGTTTATGCATCTATTTGTTGTGCAAGAACTGTCTTGTGTGTGTGATTATACTTATATGTCTATTGCCATGAATTGAAGTGCTTATTATAACTAAATATCATTGGGTTGTTTACGGAGAAAGGTATATAGATTGATCTAGAGATCAAGTGCTCTAATTTGGAGGTATGCTCTTCCAAAAGATATTGATTTCTATTTCAGTTTTGATTTTTGCCACTACTTCTGCTAAGGAGATTTTAACTTCCTTTCTCTTCTTTTTTTGGTTTAATTGATTGATTCATAGTATGCGATTGATGAAGCCAAGGATATTTACAACTTAGAGGTAAGAATCCTCTATTACATAGCAATTATGATTTATGAGCAAATAGTTTTAAAAATATTTCCTGCTCTGTTGGTTTCTTGATATTCTCGAATTTAAAGATTTTGTATTCATCGGTTACAAGGTAGTTCTTAAAGGTTTATGAACTTTATGTTGGGGTATGAACTTTTTGGGTAGATGTACCATACTCGAAGATGTAAAGGTGTTTTTATTTTTTGGGCAGAGACCAAGTTTACATCCATCTCTCTTTGGGATCAGATATATGCTTGGCTCGATTGGTTTGATTATACTTGGAGATGTGTATACGTATTCTTCTGTTGCTTTCTTGACGATGTTATAGAGAAGGTAAAGTGAACTGTGCCATGAATACAAAGTGTCGATTTTTATGATGAAAGGCTGCATTTTGTAATGAGATGCACCTTATTTGAACGAAAGAGTCATATTTAAGTCTAATTGCTTCAATATCTCAATTACTGCTTTTGGCTTTGGCTCTTTGATCGCAAATAAAACATGGGTTTTAATTTTTTTGAGGGAGGTTTCGGACATTTCAAGATATTTATGAAAGCAACTGGAAATCAAAGTTTGAGGCTGCCAGGATATGGTACATTTCATAGTTGAACATGTTTTTATGATTCCATAACGAACATGATACTTTTTGTCTTCTATTAGAGTACTTCATGCTAACTCCTTATTAATTCTTTTGTTTTGATCACATATAGGTTGATGCTTTTTTAAAGCATTATCTCTTCAGTTAGTAGTACTTGACATGGATCCTATTATGTCAATTAAGGTAAAACATTTTTGAGTTTGAAATGGCTATGATACGCACATATTAGAACAGAAAACTCATAATTTCTTCGACCATTGTTTAAGGGAGGTAGGATAAATTACTCTATTGATAGTTTGTGTATGGGGAGGCTGCTGCATAGGTTCTCCCTTTGCTATTGTTTTCTTACATCAAATATGGATGATGCATAAGTTTTCAGGTCTTGGTGGTGTGTGTAAAAAACTATTAATCATTAATCTGTAAGTTCAATTTCTCTAGATGACTTGAGACATTTTTGGTCTTGTGAACATGATCTTTGTCCTTTTTGACTTGTAGTCAACCGACTGAACAACTGTCGTATTTTTGTTTTGTTCTTAAAATTGTCTACTGTTTTTTTGTAATGTTTATATGAAATGGTTAATAAAAAAAGAAATTTTTTGTGTTTGAATTTTGTTTTTTAGATATGTTTTATTGTTTTCTTGAAGGTGTTCATCGATGTTCTTTGGTGGTATTGATGTTCTTAATTTAGGGGTTTCTAGAAAATACCCATTTGAAATATGTGTTGTTATTGTTACAGAAACAGGTCTTGGAAGACAATCTTGACAATGTCTTATCAAAGCTTGAGTGTTGTGTATGGAGATTTTAGCACATCACCATTATATGTGTTTAAAAGCACTTATATAGGAGATATTGAACATTCAGAGACTAATGAATAAATCTTTCTTTTATTTTCCGGACTCTTACTTTACTTTCTTGTAGAAATATGTGTTCATTGTGCTAAAAGTTGATGATAATGGGGAAGGAGGCACATTTGCTCTGTATCATTTGCTTTGTAGACATGATAGAGTGATTTCTTTGCCTAATTGTCAATTAGCAGATGAAGAATTCTCAACTTATAGAAAGGAAATACCTACTTTAGCCCTATCTTCTTTTGGGTCAAGACTCAAATCCACTTTGGAGAAGTATAGAGTGTTGCAAAGGTTTCTGCTTGTTTTGGCTCTTATTGGTGCTTGTATGGTCATTGGTGATGGAGTTCTAACTTCTGCCCTTTCAGGTTAGTTATTAATTGTTTCAATTACATCATTCTTTTGGTGGATTATTGCTTGTTGATTTCAAATTTATAGGTTTTCCCCAAGATTGATGGATTGTGAAAGATAATATTAGGTTGTTTTTGGTGACAATTTCTTGAATTGACATTGGATTTTGAGTTAAACTTTATGGGGTTTTGTTGGATTTTAAAGTGATTTATTTGAAATTTCTGGATTGGGTTTTTTGCGTAGATGATTAGATTCTTTTGTTTTCTTTGGATTGTTTCAATTGTTGTCATGATTATGCAGTATTTTCGACGGTTTCTGACGTGGAACTTGCAATGGCAAAAGAGCATCACAAGCGTAAGACTCTCATTTTGTTTATAATCAATACCAACACCATATTGTTGTCACGTTTATCGGAATTTGGGTAGACGATAGGTGAATCTTTTGCATAATATTGGTGCCTATTCGTCTCTATTTTATGGGTTTTTAGCATGAGAATGAAACAAGTTAAAATCTTGCAATTAGAGAAAGTAGCTTGAGCGGTGAACATCCCTCATATTAGAAACTTCTAAATGAAACAAGTTAAAAGTGTCCAATCACAGTCATTTTGTTGTTCGTTTTAGGTGAGAAGACTCTCAATCTTTATCGTCGTTTTTGTGGACTTAGATCATGATCAGCTCCAACTGATTCTACCAACTCGAAGAAATATGATGCTAATAGCTCTGTAGCTGACATAAGAGCAGTGCTCATTCTTGAATCGTCCAACCTTTCGCTCTCAGTTGTAGTGATGGAAGCTACCGTTGATGCCAACCTAGTGACAAAGAGGGTGGCATGGGCTTGTGCTTTTTCCTCCCGGACCTTATCTTTCTTCTGCACACTTCTCATAATAGCATCCTTGTGATTAAACCTTTTCTCTCTTGGCGTAACACTTTGGACGTTTGATGGGTTCATAATCTTCTGTTTCTGCAAGAGATCAATAAAAACCATAAGGTGAGACTAATTGGGCTTATTCAAACTTTTTTATTTTTTCGATTTCAAAAAATTTGAACTTACAAGTTGTTGTGCGATGAATGATTCAGGTAACCGGATAATATTCTTTTTGTCAAGCATAGATTGTTTTGATTTAAGTGCAAAGGCTTTTGAAATCTTGGCTGCAGTAACGCTCCAAGATCTGGATAAGAACTCCATTGGCTCCATTGGTGTTTCTGGTTGTGGTATAGAAGGTTGTTTTCTGGTATACAAAATTTTATGTTGCATTTTTTCTGGATACTCATATAGGTATGAATTGCTCTTCCGGATGTTTCCACCTTCCATTCCCTGGTGTTTCGTTTGTTATGGATGGATAAATAGATGATTTTAATCACCTCATAAACTTAGATCTACCACCAATTTATGTTTCTGTATCCATTTCAATCTAGTCCTGATCTCTTGGCCTGAAAAAAAAAAGATCAAGAAAAGGATATTAGAACTGAAAGTTTATCGGAATGACTCCTACTCCCTTTGAGTCTCGTGTATTCAAATCAATATATAATGTACAAATAGGATTGCAAGAGACTATAACCTATATTAAGAGATTTACATACAAAATATATATAAAACCATATCTTTTTTCACCATTACAATAAAAAAATTGTAAGTTATGTTAGACAACAAGCTATAACTCATTATTAATAGCTACATCCGTTGTATTCATAATTTTATAGGGCACGGATATGTTTTGAACTTGGTGTTATTTTATTAGGTCAACATGTACCAAAAAGTTGTTTATAACCTATGTGTGGATAATGGTTAACTGCTGATTAATTTTAGGAAGAAACAATTATGAGCCCGGAGAACTTGAGTTTGGAGAAAATGTTAATGCAAGTTTTTGTATGGAGTGTTAGTCGCCAATAGTTTTTTGTCTTATTTGATATTGTTTACAATGAGGACAAGCGTTGATTGAAATATATGAATTTTTGATGTGTCCAGTGTGGATATGCAATCTTGGAAGTGGATTTAATTGCAACTACCTTATTGATAGGAAAATGAGGAGGTGGATGCAGATGAACATTACAACATTATGGACAAACTTGTTTAATGACGTGACGATGTTGATTTTGATCAACCTTGAAAACAATATGTAGGATGAAATCTCATTTTTTTGTCTCGAGTTTTAAATGGGCGTCGAATTAAGTCTCATTTTGTGCTGGGTGTTTGGTCGAATTAAAACATGTCACTAATCTTGAATTAAGTCTCATTTTGTGCTAGGTTTTGAAAGATGTATTAGGGTGTCGAGTTAAGTCTCATTCAAAACATGTCGAGTTAAGTCTCATTCAAAACATATTTATCATCTTGTTCAATGACAACGTTGACACATTCTTTTTGTAAAATTAGATCTTGTGTGACCTTGTAATTGTTAATCATGTTGAATAAAAATTCACTTTCAATCTTGTAACTTATTTTGGATAAATTGCCTTAGAAAGGATTAGGAATGGCCCAAAAAAATTATTCAAATATATTATACCTTCAATGCTTGTAACTTATTTTGGATATATTGCCTTAGAAAGGATTATCAATAAGATTTGTTGTTCAATGGTATCGGATGGTCACTTTGAATCTTATTCCATACACAGATTATTACAATTATAAAGGGGTTTGTTATTATACACATTGCACAACATGACATAGGGTAATTTTTTATTTCAAAATTGTTACCATTGCATATCGTTTATGTTTGAAAACCGTCACCATAACATGACGTACGGTGACATTATTTTTCCAAAACCGTCACCGTAACATGACATATGATGACGTAATTTCTTTTGAAACCATCACCATTACATGACATGAGGTGACGTTTATTTTCAAAAGTCATTGTAGCATGAGGTATCTTGACGTTTATCTTTCATAATCGTCATTGTAACATGACGTATGTTGACGTTTATTGTTCAAAACCATCACTATATCATGACGTTAACTGTCGTTTATTATTCAAAATCATCACCATAACACTACATATGCACGTTTATATAAAAAACTGTGATCGTAGCATGTTGGTCCCATGAGGGTCTACAAGAAGACAAACAGTTTGTAGAAGGGGGATGAATACAAACACAATATTTTTAAATTTAAAATATATATTGATAAAGAAGATCAATACATATTTTACAAGATTGTTTGCGGAAAGATAATGTAGTAAAAACCTATCTAAACAATCTTTAGTTATACACTAAGTCTTAGCAAATACAAGAAAAGAAATGCTGTAGAGAAGATCCTTTACTTAAGCTAGAAAATGCTTGAAGTAAGAATTAGGGTTAGAGAGTGAGTTGCGCGCACTCATCATGGAGAAAAAACACTTCTATTTATATCCAGTGCATTAAATGAACATTTAATGAAATATGGTAGGGTTAGAGTGTGTGTCAAGCATTAAGAAGAAGGCTTGTCCTTTGCTACAGTGAATAGTACAAAAATCACTATTCATGAGCAGACATCCTTACCTAAAGTTGGTGGACAATAGAGTCGACTAGCCGGCTCCGTACCGTACCAACTTTCATAAGGGTATGGGTTTTGTCCTTTGTGTGCATAAGGACAAGACAACAACAATCGTGCTAAGCAAGCTTCCTTTGATTGCTGAATGTTGGAATGACCTGAAGGTCTCATCATCATTCATTGAAGCTTGAGCAATCTTCATACATATGTAGACAGACTTGTAATCACTGAGTACCGCTTCAGATCACGTACTCGTCAGTCTCTAATCTTCAGTTTCAGTCTTCGACGTTTCCTGAAGGTTCTTTGGTGTGAGTGTTGTCTTCTTGAAGTATTGCTGTCTCTGATAGAATTACAATGCAAGTTCTTCAGCGATCACTGAACATACTCAGTGAAGATCGCTGGAACTGAAAAGACAGAAACATAAATACAACGTAAGTGAAAAGGGATTATCATCAAATCATTGAGAGAGGGGATCAACAATCTCCCCCTATTTGATAATAACAAGATAACATAAAGAAAGTTATCTTATCAAATAATAGTAAGGAAAAGTTATATATGAAGTACATGTCCCTTTTTACTATTTTGGGATCTTTTTCAGTTAGCAGTCTCAGCTTGAAAATTTTCCTTAAGTTATATATAAGAAAATTGCAAGTACGGAAACTGAAACTGAAAGCTTATTCACTGACTTATAGATTGTCAGTGAATGTGAAAAGTAACATCAGAACTCATAGACTTGTGTCCCTATTACTTTTTTTAGGGATCTTTTTCAGTGAATACATGGAATACTCATTTTATTAATCATAGGTAATATTACAAGTGTTACAGTACATGTCTAGAACTTACAGAATATAAGTACAATCACTGAAAGTAGACATAATACAAAAAGTTACAAGGAAAAGTGGATTGTTGTTACAAAGGGAAACTATTCTAAAGCTCTTAGATCTATGTAACCGGGTAAATTTTCACCAAGTTTTCTTCGACGTAGGAATTCCCTTTGTATCTTCAGATCTATGACTTTTCCTGGCATGCTATCATCTATCTAGAGCAAAAGGTAAACCAGATGATCCATTGGACATAGATGTAGCTCTGACATTCTCTGAAATCTGACTTCACCTTCATAGTCAAATATATAACTCCTAACTCAGGTTTAAAATGCACAGAGTTGGGTGTATAGGGACCCTTATCTGGCAAGTCAAGATTCAGCATAGAAATGTATGTACTCTTATTACCCTTCAGGACTTCATCTAAGGAGAACCTTGTTTCATGTTCGTTCCTTAAGAATGATCCATCATTAGGATCAGAGAGCTTGAATTTCTTCTTCCCACCAATCTTCAGAGTTAGCCTGTCAGGGACCTTGACATACCTGGACATCCTTTTGATGAGCTCACTGATGGTGTCCTCGATAAGTGTCTTGTGTCTCGACTTGGATTGCTGAATGGCTTGTCTKATCTCCATCCATTCGCTGAATCCATAACGGCCTAGGTAGGAAGGATACTCGGTAACGGCATAAAGATTGTCCCTCGTGATGAGCATTGAGACCAGTGTTCCATCGTCTTTAGAACGTCCGCTGATGCTGACGCTGATAATCGAGTGGGGACTGATTCTCTTTTTTATCTTTGCTTTGCTCCATCGCTTGTCCTTTTCCGCTAGCTTCAGGTTCTTCTCATCACCAATAGAGGTACAAAGAGGGATTTTTACTCTAGTCTGGTCGAGTGACTCTTTTAGCTGAGACATCTGCTGGTCGGTAGGAGCACAAGAGATGGATTGATCAGGTACCCACTCCAGTCGACCGCAGGTTGTTAATGGAATATGAAGTTAATATTCTGAAGTAATCACTACCTGAGAGGTAGAGTCTTCAAACAAAGGTTGTTGAGGGATATTGAACAATACCTTCAAGTTTCCTTCTTCAGCGACTGCCTTGCCTTTCGACTTGGGGTCCTGGTTTCCTGATGGAGTCGATTCACCTTGCCTTTCCTCCCCCTGGGATGCAGAATCCCTGAAAGTAACACCTTTGGTGACGGTTGATGGCTTCTGGAACTTGATGGAAAAGTCATCTTCATTATCATCGTCATCATCTAGATCATTTTCGGTGTCTGGAATGGCAGGTTCATCATCGTCTTCATCATCATCTTCATCTTCATCATCATCATCATCATCACCAGCAGCAGTGATGGTATGGGTATCATCCCTAGGGATGGCATCGACAACCTCAGCTGGAGCAGCTTTGGTGGTCGTAATTACAAGAGCAGCAACTGCTTCAGCTCTGAGACCCTCAGCTACAACTGCAACTGTAGTTGATACTGGACCAACAACCTGAGAAAGAGTAAGCACAGCATCGGATGATTCACCAACATTGGACCTCATCTCCCCCTCTCTAGCTAAGACTTTAGAGAGTTGGTTAGAGAGTTCGTCCAAGCACTGACGCTGGAGAACCATTATATCCTCTAGCCTTTTCAAAGCACTGGCTAGAGTTGTCGTTGCCTCATGCGTCTCATGGAGCTGGGTGCAATCACTAGCAGAGAAAGAAGGAAGGATCACTAGAGCTGGTTGACAAACAGCATCCAGGATCTGTTGAAGAAGGCCAGTCTGCTGATCAGCAATAGTCTGAGCATCATCAGCTCTGCTGTGAAGAACAGCAATGGCATTGGTGTTGGCTTAAACAGCTTCTTGGAGAGTCTAGAGATGACTCTGAACCTCTTGAACGTCCGTCTGGATGGCAAGGAAGTTCG